GCTCTAGGCGGAGCGGGAGGTCGGAGCTGCGGGCGCTCGCTGGTGGCGGACTCGGAGGCTGCTGCGGCGCGGGGGTTCCGTGGCCCGGGTCGAATCTGATCTGGAGCCATGAGCGTGGACAAGTCGGAGCTATGCGGTTCTCTGCTCACCTGGGTAGGTCAGAGGGCGGGGCTGGGGACAGGTGTGCGCCCGCTCCTCTTGCCCAGGATCCCTGGCCCTGGCTGAGTCCTCCCCTCCGTCCTGGGGTTGGGAGGAGGGGGTCGTCGGCCTGCTGGGCCGTTGGACTCTGACCCGAGCGCCCGCCCCCGTCACGTGGCAGGTCGGCGGGAAAGAGCAGGTGAGGCCCCGCCCCTCTGTGACTGGTTCACGTGGGGCGAGGGCACAGGTGAGCTGGTCTGGTCACGTGTTGCCTGGGGGGGGGACCAGGTGACTCTCGGGCTACCGCCCTGGCCCGGTCGCGCGGGGTTTGTTGGGCAGAGGTGAAGTGGGACCACGCCCCCTCGAGTCCCAGGTGAGCTGAGTTGGCGGAGGGACGCTACCAGCCAGCACCTGCCCTGGCAAAGGAGGTGTACCCTGGCGTTGGCCAGAAAAGTTTGCCAAGGGAAGTGAGTGGTTCGGTGGGCCCAGGCCTGAGCCTCCCAGTTGCCCTTTCCTTTCCGCCTCAGCTGCAGACGTTCCACGTTCCACACCCCTGTGCCAGCCCCCAGGACCTGAGCAGCGGCTTCCCCATAGCCTTCGTGCTGAATCAGATGTGAGTGTGGCAGAAGGGCAGGGTCCCTAAAGGACCCCCTCAGCCAGCTCATTCCACCTTCTCGCCCCCAGCGATCCCTCCTGGTTCAACGAGACATGGCTCCGGGGCATCTCAGACGACCCAAGTCCCACCTGGAGGCTGAAGGTGACAAGTGGACTCATGACCAGGGGACAGACTGATGAAGAGAGGACCAGGGAAGAGTCAGTTAGACACATGTCTTGGGTGGACAGACAGACCTGGCAAGGAAGAGGGACAGGTGTCTGGTGATCAGCTCACTCAGCCATCGTTCTAGAAATGTGGACTAACAACACATACACAACTTCCGGGCTAGCAGGTGGTGGGGCAGAGATTAAGACAGCAGGATCCCACATGGTCGACTAGGTGGTTCGAATCCCAGACCCAGTGACTTGTAAATCCTGCTGGGCACGTGTGTGTGCATACCCAAAATCCTGAGAGGAGAACGGTGTAGGGATTGCCATGGGACCATCCTTTCTCACTTTCCCTCTCTCTCTGCCTCTCTCCAGCAAGCGCTTGCCCCGTATAGCAAACAAACAAGAAAGAGCTTCTGGGGACCAGCAATTGGCATAATGGCTATGTTGCTGGACTCCCATGTAGTCGACCATGGTTCGTGTCCCGGACCCGGTGGCTTAAACTCACACCGGGCGCGTGTGCGTGCGTGCCCAAGATCCCGAGAGGAGAATGGAGGAGAAGGGATTGTGGCTTGGCCATCCCCCCTGAGGGGTGATTTCTCGCTTTCTGTCTCTCTGTCTTTCTGGCAAGTGCATGCGCCCTATAGCAAAAACCTCTCTAAAACAAAATTGAGCTTCTGGGAACAACATTTCTACCATGACAGAGGGCAGTAGGGGTGCTGGGGAAGACTCAGGCTATGTTGAGCTCCACGTGAGATCTGGAAAATCCGTATTTCGGGCACAGGGAACAGCCAATCCACAGGCTCTGAGCTGGGGATAAACTTGCTGTGATTCAGGAATGGCGGGAGGTTGGGACAGAGAATGAGAAGTCAGGAACGGGAGATGAGGTCACCAGGGGCCTGGCACACCATGGAAGAGGGCGTGGATTCTATTTTAAGTACTGTGGACAGTCGAAGGATTTTAGCAGGGGAGGGATGCAACCTGGTTTGGGCTTTAAAAAGCTCCCCCTGGCTGCTCAGAGAGGAAGAGAGTGTAGGCAGAGAACTGCAAAATAAAAGGTGCAGGGGGTGGGGGGCTGGCAGGTGGCATGGTGGTTAAGGGCACTGGACTCACAAATGACTGACTGAGGTTCGAGTCCCTGACCTGGAGGCTGCTTTCTCCCTTTCCCTCTCTCTCACTCTGTCCCTCTCTGATCAAATGAAAATGAAAAAGTTCGATAAAATACTTCTTTAAGAAGAAATAAAAGGTGCAGTAATTCAGGTGAAAGATGACAGTGTCTAGGACCAAAGGGTGGTGGGCAGTGATTGGATTTGGGGGACACATGAGCAAAGATCATTAAGTGGACAAAAAGAGTGGGAAGCCTCACAGATCACCTGTAGGGGAGGGGACATGCAGACCGAGAATGGGCCCGAACAGGATGAGATGAGCAGGGAAGGAGAAGGGAGGTGAAGGAGGATGGGGTGGACTGATTAGGGGCACGGAGGAGGCTCCGGACCCCTGTACCCAGTTTCCTGCCTCTCCTTAGATCAGCAATCTGAAGACGATCTTACAGAGCCTGGTGGAGTACTCCCAGGAAGTGAGTGGATATGCAGGGATTGGGGAGGGCGGGCGGTCGATGGCGTGCGGTGGTTAGGGCACCAGTGGTTAGGCATCCCACACAGCTTGCAAAATTCACCACGCGCTTGTGTGTGCATGCCCAAAATACCAAGAGGAGAATGAAGGAGGGATTGCGGGCGCCCACCCCCCCTTGGGTGGAGGGTTTCTCATTTTCTCTTTCAGGGGACTGGGTGAGGAGAAGGAGGAAGATCCCGCAGCTCCTGCCATCTCCTCCTCCTCGTCCGCAGGTCCTGGGACATCCTGTGTCCGAGGAGCATCTCCCTGATGTGACCCTGATTGGCGAATTCTCAGACCCTGCAGAGCTCGGAAAACTGCTTCAACTGGTGCTGACCTGTGCTATCAGTTGTGAGAAAAAGCAGGGTATGGGGCCTGCTGGGGCACGGTGGTTGAGGTGGCTGGATCCCACGGAGCCAGCTGTACGGTTCGAATCCCGGACCCAGTGGCTTAGACAACATACTGAGCATGCGTGCCCAGAATCCCGAGAGAAGAATGGAGGAGAAGGGATTACAGCCAGGCCCTCTCTCCCAGGGGGGTGATTTCTCACCTTCTGCCTCTGTCTCTGGCGAATGCATGCCCCGATCCAAACTAGAGAAAGAGAGAGGAGGGAGGGAGGGAGGCTGGAAGGAAAGAAAGAAAAGCACACCAGGGGTGTGCCTAGAATCCCAAGAGTAGAGGAGAAGGAAGTGTAGCATGGCCATCCCTCCTGGGAGGTGCTTTGTCACTTCCTTCTCTCTCTCTCTCTCTCTCTCTCTCTCTCTGGCAAGTCCATGCGGCCTCTAACCAGGGTATGGGAGGACTTAGGGGTCCCTACCTGGGGAGTCCTTCTTCCTGGCCAACCCCCACCCCTGGGTCTTAGTCTCCCCAACCTCGATCCCCAGAACACATCCAGAGGATCATGACGCTGGAGGAGTCGGTCCAGCACGTGGTGATGGAAGCCATCCAGGAGGTGGGTGGGGTTGCTCAGTGTGGCCATCGGGGGTGTCTCGGGGGAGGCCACATTTCCAGGGCAGAGGCAACTGGGCATTAGCCCTGCCCTGCCAAGATCTGGGCTCTGCCTGGAACTCAGCTGGCCAGACATCTGTCTCATGTGTCTGCCAGCGCACGCCAGTTCTAAGTCCCAGCAGGCTTAAGGGACTCGGCCTCTGTCCCTGCGGGAGGCAGGAGGGCAGCCTCTGGCCTGAGCTGGCCTCAGACAACCCAGCGTTGATCAAGTTCTTATCCCTCTCCCAGCTGATGACCAAAGATACCTCCGACTCCCTGCCCCCAGAGACTTATGGCAACTTCGATACCCAGGTAAGGGGTGGGGAGCCTTATGGAAGGTCCAGCCCCATTACTGAGTCTCAGGGTGCCCTGGCTGGAAGGGCTTGTCCTTAAGCCTGTAAAACATCCTATCCCTCAGTTCTAGCCTCTTCCCTTGCCAGGTCCCCAATGTTCCCAAGTCATCCTTCTCTCAGTCCTCTGGGATTCCAAGCCTCTCTTCCATCTTCAAGATTTCTCAGCCCTTGTGAGACAGCAGGTGGCGTGGTGGTTAAGGCACTGGACTCCCACCTGGCTGACTGCAGTTTGAGTCCTGGGCCTGGTGGCTTGCATTTTCTCTCTCTCTCTCTCTCTCTCTCTGTCTTTTCTCTGGTCACATTGAAGACCAAGAAGAAAAAATAAATAAATAAATAATACTTTAAAAATCTTTTTAAAAAGAATTATTTTGGGGGGAGACCAGCAGATGGTGTAATGGTTATGTCACTGGACTCCCACATAGTTGACTATGGTTTGAGTCCCAGACCCAGCCTGTTAAAACTCATGCCGGGCACGTGTGTGTGTGCCCAAGAACCCATAAGGAGAATGGAGGAGAAGGGATTGCAGCATGGCCATCCCCTCTGGGGGGTGAGTTCTCACTTTCTGTCTCTCTGGCGAGACAGAAATCGGGCATGTGTGCCTGCATCCCCCCAGGGAGATGGCCACACCGCAATCCCTTCTCCTCCACTCTCCTCCCGGGATCTTGGGCACGCACGCACACGCGCCCAGCGTGAGTCTGGGACTCGAACTGCAGTCGACTACGTGGGAATCCAGCGACATAGCCATTACGTTAACTGCTGGTCCCAATAAATAATATTTAAAAAAAATAAGAGAGATTCCTCAGCTCTCTCCTCTAGATCCCTAGAGGTCGCAGCCCCCCTCCCCACCTCCTGCTGGGTCCTCCTGCTGGACGACCCCCCCCCCAGTTCCCTAACCACCCCTCCTCTCCCCAGTCTCGCAGGTACTATTTCCTAAGCGAGGAGGCTGAGGAGGGGGAGGAACTACAGCAGCGCTGTCTGGACCTGGAGAGGCAGGTGGGGCTCAGGTGGGGGACCGCAGGTGCTGCTGGGCCCGGGTCACCCTGCTCTGTGCCAAGCTGCAGCCCCTCCACCTGCCCTGCCCGCAGCTGGTGCTCCTGTCGGAGGAAAAACAGAGCCTGACGCAGGAGAACGCGGCACTGCGGGAGCGGGTGGGCCGGCCCGAGGGCGAGGGCGCCCCAGGCCTCACTGCCAAGAAGCTGCTGCTGTTGCAGTCCCAGCTGGAACAGCTGCAGGAGGAGAACTTCAGGTGGGTCAGCAGACAGGCTGCGGGTTGGGTCTGGCAGGGGCTGGGGCGAGCCCAGCCCCTTCACACCCAGGTCCCCTCCGCCCGCCCCGCCCCCGCGCAGGCTCGAGAACAGCAGGGAGGATGAGCGCTTTCGCTGCGCTGAGCTGGAGCGTGAGGTCTCGGAGCTGCAGCAGCGGAACCACGCGCTGACCAGCCTGGCCCAGGAGGCGCAGGCCCTGAAGGATGAAATGGACGAGCTGCGGTGAGGGCGTGGTCCCCGGGGCGTGGTCCTCTGAGCCGGTCGCCCCACTGCAACCCACAAATGCCCAGCGAGCCCCAGCAATGACCCCGAGACCCCACAGTGCCATCCTGCTCCCAGTTTGACCTCCAGCTCTCTGCAGCGTCCCGAACCCCACCATGTCCCCTGGGCTCCGCTAGACCCTCTGGATCTGTGGTGCTCCCCTGCACCCACAGTGCCCCCGGCACCCCACCTATGCTCCCCAGACCCCATGGCATCTCTGTGGCCCCAAAGAACATAGGACCCTCACCTGTGCAGACACACACACACACACACACGCACACACACACACACACGCACGCTGCTCCCAGATGACCCAGGTGCACTATTCTGAGCCCTGAATCTCACGGTACCCCAGAGGGATGCGCAGTGCAGTGACTCTCCAGTTGACTGTGACCCCACTGTGCCTTCTGTAACCCCAAAGAGCTCCCCTGAACCTCACAGCTCTTTTTTTTAGAATTATTTATTCATTTCATTTATTATTCATTTATTTATTTTGGAGAAGTTTTTGCTATAGGGCGCATGCTCTCACCAGAAAGACAGAGCGAAACAGAGAGAAAGTGAGAAATCACCCCTCAGGGGGGATGGCCACGCCGCAATCCCTTCTCCTCCATTCTCCTCTCGGGATCTTGGGC